AAATGTGTCAGATTGCCTGTCATTTCTTCTATTTTTCCACTTCTGTTTTGTGTCACAAAACAAACATAACGACTGTCATGCACGTGTGCCAGTCGTTCGTTATGCCTTTTGGTGTAATTTCGTCTGAACCTGTTCAGACCTATTCCAGTATTGTTAATTGCCGGTGGCGTGTGTGTGAAAAACAATAGACAGATCTCCGAACAAAAGGCATGGAATCACTATTTGATAGCGGAGACATGGCTAAGAGGAGTATTTTGTACGTTCTGTTCATTATCACATATTGAATTTTAGTGGGACAGATGGGAAAAATGGGACAGGTAGCTATCAAGTTGTGTGTGCGTCTGTTGAACAGGAATAACACAAATGATAGACAAACAGAATTGCTGAATAGACCGAAGTCGGACAATGTGAATTTATTGGGGGATTATGTATCCACGATTTAATATTTTATTAAAGAAAAAAAGAAATAAATCCCCCATAAAGTAATGAAGAATTCTTTGTGTCCACATTAATCCCTCTTACACTGAAATAATAACGTCGGATATTTGTAAATGTAAAAGGGGACGTATGAGTAGTGACATATTGTATACGCTCCCATGTCCACTTTTCATTACAGGGAAATGGTAATTTCATTTCTAAAGAAACATATAATTTCTTTGCCGTACCTTTTGAGGTATTGATGAAGAAACGAAAACATATTGTTCTCAGTAATCATGGTTGAAAAAGAGTACTACAGAATTTATACACAAAAAGGGGTTCCAATGAAGTAATAATAATATTGCGTATTTCTCGTGGCATATATCATACGCAGCAGGGTACGGAAAATTTGACATTTTCAAAGTATTGATGACATTTTTTTTTTTTTCTTTAAAAAAACCACGCCTTGTGTAGAACCTTGAAAAAATATAGGCCTTAAAAAAATATTCTTTAAAAAATATAGGCCTTGAAAAAATATTCTTTTTAAAATATAGGCCTTCAAAAATGTTTTTCAAAAATCTTGGCCTTGAAAAAAAATTCTTTAAAAAATTTAGGCATAAAAAAATATTCTTTAAAAAAATCTAGGCCTTGTAAAAGTATTCTTTAAAAAATCTAGGTCTTGCAAAAATATTCTTTAGAAAATCTAGGCCTTGGTAGATCCTTGAAGAAATATTCTTAAACAAAAACAAGTCCTTTGGTAGATCCTTGAAGAAATATTCTTAAAAAAAAACAAGTCCTTTGGTAGATCCTTGAAGAAATATTCTTAAACAAAAACAAGTCCTTTGGTAGATCCTTGAAGAAATATTCTTAAAAAAAAGTCCTTTGGTAGATCCTTGAAGAAATATTCTTAAAAAAAGAAGTTCTTTGGTAGATCCTTTGAAAAAATCTAATCCCTTGGTAGATCCTTGAAAAAATATTCTTTGAAAAAATCTAATCCCTTGGTAGATCCTTGAAAAAATACACGCCTTGCGTTGGTCCTTGAAAAAATATTCTTTGAAAAAATCTAATCCCTTTGGTAGATCCTTGAAAAAATCCACGCCTTGTGTAGATCCTTAAAACAAATTCTTTAAAAACCCCCGCCTTGTGATGATCCTTGAAAAAATATTCTTTAAAAAATCCACGCCTTGTATAGGTCCTTGAAAAAATATTGTTTAAAAAATCCACGCCTTGTATAGGTCCTTGAAAAAATATTCTTTAAAAAATCCACGCCTTGTATAGGTCCTTGAAAAAATATTGTTTAAAAAATCCACGCCTTGTATAGGTCCTTGAAAAAATATTCTTTAAAAAATCCACGCCTTGTGTAGATCCTTGAAAAAATATTCTTTAAAAAATCCACGCCTTGTGTAGATCCTTGAAAAAATATTCTTTAAAAAATCCACGCCTTGTGTAGATTCTTGAAAAAATATTCTTTAAAAAAATCCACGCCTTGTGTAGATCCTTGAAAAAATATTCTTTAAAAAATCCACGCCTTGTGTAGATCCTTGAAAAAATATTCTTTAAAAAATCCACGCCTTGTGTAGATCCTTGAAAAAATATTCTTTAAAAAATCCACGCCTTGTGTAGATCCTTGAAAAAATATTCTTTAAAAAATCCACGCCTTGTGTAGATCCTTGAAAAAATATTCTTTAAAAAATCCACGCCTTGTGTAGATCCTTGGAAAAATATCCTTTAAAAAATCCACGCCTTGTGTAGATCCTTGAAAAAATATTCTTTAAAAAATCCACGCCTTGTATAGGTCCTTGAAAAAATATTCTTTAAAAAATTCACGCCTTGTATAGGTCCTTGAAAAAATATTCTTTAAAAAATCCACGCCTTGTATAGGTCCTTGAAAAAATATTCTTTAAAAAATCCACGCCTTGTATAGGTCCTTGAAAAAATATTCTTTAAAAAATCCACGCCTTGTGTAGATCCTTGAAAAAATATTATTTAAAAAATCCACGTGTAGGATATGCCTTGAGAAAATATTCTTTAAAAAATCCACGCCTTGTGTAGATCCTTGAAAAAAATATTCTTTAAAAAATCCACGCCTTGTGTAGATCCTTGAAAAAAATATTCTTTAAAAATCCACGACTTGTGTAGGACCTTAAAAATATTCTTTAAAAAATCCACGACTTGTGTAGGTCCTTGAAAAAATATTCTTTAAAAAATCCACGCCTTGTATAGGTCCTTGAAAAAATATTCTTTAAAAAATCCACGCCTTGTATAGGTCCTTGAAAAAATATTCTTTAAAAAATCAACGCCTTGTATAGGTCCTTGAAAAAATATTCTTTAAAAAATCCACGCCTTGTATAGGTCCTTGAAAAAATATTCTTTAAAAAATCCACGCCTTGTATAGGTCCTTGAAAAAATATTCTTTAAAAAATCCACGCCTTGTATAGGTCCTTGAAAAAATATTCTTTAAAAAATCCACGCCTTGTATAGGTCCTTGAAAAAATATTCTTTAAAAAATCCACGCCTTGTATAGGTCCTTGAAAAAATATTCTTTAAAAAATCCACGCCTTGTATAGGTCCTTGAAAAAATATTCTTTAAAAAATCCACGCCTTGTATAGGTCCTTGAAAAAATATTCTTTAAAAAATCCACGCCTTGTATAGGTCCTTGAAAAAATATTCTTTAAAAAATCCACGCCTTGTATAGGTCCTTGAAAAAATATTCTTTAAAAAATCCACGCCTTGTATAGGTCCTTGAAAAAATATTCTTTAAAAAATCCACGCCTTGTATAGGTCCTTGAAAAAATATTCTTTAAAAAATCCACGCCTTGTATAGGTCCTTGAAAAAATATTCTTTAAAAAATCCACGCCTTGTATAGGTCCTTGAAAAAATATTCTTTAAAAAATCCACGCCTTGTATAGGTCCTTGAAAAAATATTCTTTAAAAAATCCACGCCTTGAAAAAATATTCTTTAAAAAAGCCACGTCTTATGTAGGTCCTTGAAAAAATATTCTTTAAAAAATCCACGCCTTGAAAAGATATTGTTTAAAAAATCCACGCCTTGAAAAAATATTGTTTAAAAAAATCCACGCCTTGAAAAAATATTCTTTAAAAAATATTATTTAAATGATCCACGCCTTGAAAAATATTCTTTAAAAAAATCCACGCTTTCACGGGTCCCTAAAAAATATTCTTAAAAAAATCCATTCCTTTGATTGGCCTAAAAAATATTCTTTATAAAATCCATGCCTTTAGTGGACCTTAAAAATATTCTTTTAAATATCCACTGGTCTTGAAAATATTTTTTGACGCACTTCTGTTAGTACCTGAAAAAAATCCTCTTCATATTTGTGTACGTATAAGTAACGTCGTGAGTCATACGCCACTATGTTCCACCATAGAAAAACGCTCTACGGGTCCCTGAAAACAAATTCTTTTAAAACAACCCCACTTATTAAACACCTTCAAAAAATATTCATGTACAAATTCCCGCATATTATAGTCCTTAAAAGTATTCCTTAGAAAACTACGCCTTATGTAGGTCCCTGAAAAATATTCTTTAAAAACCAAAAGCCCTTATAGCCCTTGAAACAATGTTCTTATAAAAAATCGACGCAATTTACATTCTTTGAAAAAAATATTCTTTAAAAAATCCATGCTTTTTATAACCCTCGAAAAAATTATCTCTCTTTGTGTATTTGGTGCGTATAAGTGACGTCATCAGTCATACGCCACAATGGTTGCAGCAAACAAACAATTCGTATTTTTTCCAATTTTTTTTTGAAAAAGAAAAAGAAACTGCTTTTCAATTTCGTTATATGCCAACTGTTTTTTTTTCAGCTCTGTTGTCAGCCTGTTTGGCCTTTCATATATTGCCAATTTTCCGCCGTATGTAATTTCCGTTCTTGTTTCCGCATAATTTATAACCTTTGGGGTTTTCTTGGCAAAAACAATGAATTCGATATATTCGAGATAAGAAAAAATCCGAAATGACCTCAAAATGAATTTTTATTTTGTTTTGCATTTTGTTTTAATGGAAGATAACATGAGAGACAGCAATCTCAATTATGAATTTCCGGAAATAATAATAATACAAGAATGAAAGAAATCGAATCGCAACTCTTTCGATTTTAGAAATTCAATAGAAAATAAATCAAGATATGAATTCTCAGGAAAAGGAAATTGAATTTACATCGGAGGACAGTAGAACCTAAATAACTGTCTCTTCTCAAATTTACAATTGGACTGAAGTACCTAAGGAAGGAGAAGAAGATTAATGCATCTCTGAGGAATATTGAATCAGATATTTTTTTACCTCTTGACCTGATTACAATTATCCTGAGTTCTGTGTAGTTTCTTTATTTTGTAAATCCCTTTAAAGGCTAAACATCATAACACATTGACAAGCAATCCATACTGGTATCTATGTTTACAGCAAAATAAAAAATCTAGTTTCTCTTCTTTGATTTCTTCCGAGTATTTGAGGCATCCCGGTGTCGTCCGGTGTCCATTGTGTATTATTTTCAATATAACATGATGTTATTTCTGCTTTCCCTTCCGATTATTTTCTCTCTTGTGTGTTTTTATTTTCAGTACAAATACCATGGCACCAAACTGAAATCCTTGCTAAAGATATCTTCATCCTCTGTCAGCAGTCATATTTTAAGTCCAGAAAATGATGCGGCTTCTGTCATGACTGGTTCTGGTGCACCATACAATCCAATAATCGAGGGGGGATATCCTGCCCCACCACCACAAGATAATGCCATGCACAATTATGTAAATGATTCACAACAACAACAAAAACAATATGGAGAAGATGGAGCTATGCGTCACCATATTGCAGGAAGAGATAACGGAGAAGACTACGAATACGACAAACCTCAATCGAATGAAATGCCATTGGAAGTGAATGCTGTGGTCAATAACTGAAAATGAAAAAGCTGTTGGTTTAAATATCTAGGGTGGGGTAAGTTCAGACATGCATACATCCATAGATATATTGCATGTTCCAATTTTAATTACATGATTCAGTTTTTGTTTTTTATTTATTTTTTTATTTGTGTATGAATATTTAAAGAACATTAGGGTGGAAATTCGAAGGAATATAATCTGAAAAGCAATTCTTTTAAAGTGGCATACAGGGTGCGTATAACTAACGACAACAGTTATACGCACCGGAGTACCACAAAGCAAATCGATAATTTTGTTTCCTGGAGCAGTTTTAAGCAATGGGGTTTCCAGGAATGGGTTTTACTAGGCCTACCAAAGGCGTGGATTTTTAAAAGAATATTTTATCAAGACCTATACAAGGCGTGGATTTTTTAAAGAATATTTTTTCAGGGACCTACAGAAGGCGTGGATTTTTTAAAGAATATTTTTTCAGGGACCTACAGAAGGCGTGGATTTTTTAAAGAATATTTTTTCAAGGCCTATACAAGGCGTGGATTTTTTAAAGAATATTTTTACAAGGCCTACCAAAGGCGTGGATTTTTTAAAGAATATTTATACAAGGCCTACCAAAGGCGTGGATTTTTTAAAGAATATTTTTACAAGGCCTACAAAAGGCGTGGATTTTTTAAAGAATATTTTTACAAGGCCTACAAAAGGCGTGGATTTTTTAAAGAATATTTTTACAAGGCCTACCAAAGGCGTGGATTTTTTAAAGAATATTTTTACAAGGAGAGAGGAGAAAGTATTTTCGGAAAAAAGAAGAAAGAGCAAGAAAAAACGTGAGCGTGAGATGTACAGGAGTCAGAATGAAGTCCGAAAATTCTATCAACGGGTAAAACACCAAACCGAAAGCTTTGGTGCAGGCACATCCTCGTGTAGAGATAAAGAAGGAAACCTGGTGACAGATACAGACAGTGTGCTGGGGATCTGGAAGGAGGATTTTGAAAAGCTTCTGGTAGCAAATAGTGACGTTGAAGAAGATACCCCAGAACCAATAAGAGAGGATGGTATAGAGTGTATACCACCTAGCCAAGATGAGGTCATAAAAGCAATTAATGGGCTCAAGAACAACAAAGCAACAGGAGCCGATGGGTTACAAGCCGAACTATTCAAGACTGGTGGTCAGATGCTGATAAGGAGCATGCACCAGCTGATTAGTACAATTTGCCCAATGATTGGAACCTCAGCATCATGTGTCCCGTGCGCAAAAAAGGGGACAAGACGATATGTGCCAACTATAGAGGACTAAGTCTCCTTCCCATCGTATATAAAGTGATATCCAGCGTACCGTGTGAAGGACTGAAGCCAATGGTTAATGACATTATTGGACCATACTAATGCGGCTTCAGACCTGGCAAATCCACCATTGACCAGATTTTCACTCTGCGCCAAATCCTGGTAAAAAAACCCACGAAAAACACATCGACACATTCCACCTATTCGTCGACTATAAAGCCGCATTCGACAGCCCTATCCATTCAGAGGCGTTTAGAGCCATGTCTACGTTCGGCATTCCTGCAAAATTAATACGGCTATGCAGAATAACTTTAAGTGGCACAAGATCAGCAGTCAAAATAGGAGAGGACCTATCGAAGCGCCTCAATACCGAACAAGGATTCAGACAATGTGACAGTTTGTCGTGTGATCTTTTTAACATCCTGCTGGAAAAGGTCATACGAGACGCAAAAGTGAACAGAAATGGCACTCTGTACACCAAACAACACATGTTACTCGCCTACGCCGTTGACATCGATATAGTGGGTCGAACATTGCGAGCGGTAACAGCCACCTTTGAACAAATTGAGAAGGAGTCTGCCAAAGTGGGTCTGGCAGTAAACGGCGAGAAGACCAAGCTGATGGTATCAAAGCGCAAGACTTTCAGTAGACACGGACCAACTGTGGAACTTGAAAACTACAGCTTCGAGGTAGTTAAATGTTTTATATACCTTGGTACCGCCATAAACGAAACGAATGATATCAGTTTTTAAATTCGGAGATGGATAGTGATGGCCAGCCGATGCTACTATGGTTTGAGCAAACAACCCAAAAGGAAGGCCACACTTTACAAGACGCTGATACTCCCGTGCTGTTATATGGATCTGAAGCATGGGTACTTACGCAACCAGATGATACAGCTCTAAGCGTGTTTGAGAGAAAGATTCTCCGAAAGATCTATGGGCCAATCTGCGTTGACGGTGAATATCTTTGTCGAACCACGAGCTTTACAATTTATACGCGGACATGGGCATTGTTAGACGTATTGAGCTGCAGCGACTACGGTGGCTAGGCCATGTTGTGCGAATGAATGAGAATGCTACAGCTCAGAAGGCATATAAAAACGAGCCTGCTGATGGTTTCCGTAGAAGGGGAAGGCCACGAATTAGATTGAAAGGCCAAGTTGAAAACAACATCTTGGAACGTGGTCTTCCAAATTAGTGGATTTGCGCACCAGACCGACGCGCTTGGAAATCTTTTTTTAACCTCGGCTTATGGAACAACCGTTCTGTAACAAGCCAGCTAAGCAAGGGGGCATACTTCCCACTAAATTTTGGATAAAATTTTCAGGAATTTGTCCCCTTTCAAATTGTACCCGCCGCCAGAGTTCATCCATATTCACAGGAGCTCTCTTGTCTTTTTTAAGCTCAGCTTATGGAACAACCGTTCTGTAACAAGCCAGCTAAGCCAGCGTGGATTAAAAAATCCACGCCTTGGTAGGCCTTGAAAAAATATTCTTTTAGAAATCCACGCAAGGCATTGAAAAATATTTTGTGTTAATGCTAGAAATATATCCTCTTTGTATTTGTGGTGCGTATAAGTATCGTCATGAGTCATACGCCACGATGTTCCATCAGTGAAAAAAAAAGAAATGGAAGTCCCTCAAAATATATTCTACAAAAAATCAAGGGGCAAAAGAAGTCGTGATATTTTTTCAAGTCCCATCCAAGGCGACGATTTTTTTAAGAATTTTTTTCCTCAAGGTACCACTTTAAAGTATGTGTTTCCATTTTCCTTCAACCACCCTAATGTTTATGTATTACATTTAATTTGAAAATTTTTTCACCAATTCGATTACATTTTTCACAACCCAACAACGCTTCCCTTAGCCGCATTCTTCACACACATACAATATAATTTTCAAAATTTTCCCCCCATACACAGATACTGGTTCGTCGTGATGGCCAGAGCGATAAGCTGGCATGTGAATTTGCGGCATCCATGGCATGGTTCGTGATTGAATGCATTAAAATTTTGAAACTCCCCTGGTAATGGCACAGGACAACAAACACACACAGTCGCAAAGAACTGAAACTGGTGGCATATTGATTCTAACATGATTTTCAAACTATTAAATTGAATTGAGTTCGTTATAAATATTTTTTCGTTGTTGTTGTTGTATGTGTGTAAAATTCTATTAAATCGTTTAACAAAAATAAAGTTTAAAAGTTAAGCTAAATGGAAAAGCTTGAATTTGTATGAGTGTGTCAGCAGGAGATTTTTATGGAAAACGGCTTTTTGTTAGAAGCAGGCGAGGTTTAAATTTATGACAGGTGGTTTGGGAAATTTTGTCAAGATTTTTGTGTAGGCCTTGAAAAAATCCACGCCTTGTGTAGATCCTTGAAAAAATATTCTTTAAAAACTCCACGCCTTGTGTAGATCCTTGAAAAAATATTCTTTAAAAACTCCACGCCTTGTGTAGATCCTTGAAAAAATATTCTTTAAAAAATCCACGCCTTGTGTAGATCCTTGTAAAAATATTCTTTAAAAAATCCACGCCTTGTGTAGATCCTTGAAAAAATATTCTTTAAAAAATCCACGCCTTGATTAGGCCTTGAAAAAATATTCTTTACCTTGAAAAAATATATATTTCTTTTTTAAATCCAAAACTATGGGGGGCCTTGAAAAACTTACTTACATACATAACTGGCTTGTTACAGAACGGTTGTTCCATAAGCCGAGCTTAAAAAAGATTTCCGTCGGTCTTGTGCGCAAATCCACCAATTTGGAAGACCACGTTCCAGGATGATATTTTCTACTTGGTCTTTCCATCTAATTCATGGCCTTCCCCTTCTGCGGGAACCATCAGTAGGCTCGCTTTTATATGCCTTTTGAGCTGGGGCATTCTCATTCATTCACTCAATATGGCCTAGCCATCGTAGTCGCTGCAGCTTAATACGACTGACTATGTCGATGTGCGCAAATAAATTGTAAAGCTCGTGGTTCATTCGACGCCGATATTCACCGTCGACACAGATCGGCGCGTAAATTCAAAAAACCCAAAAGCTGCCTCATCTGCTTGCGCAAGTACCCATGCTTCTGATCCATATAACAGCACGGGTAGTATCAGCATCTTGTAATGTGTGAGTTTGGTCTGACGGGAGCTGGCCTTGTTTCTAAACGGCTTACTTAGACCATAGTAGACCATCTGTTGGTCATCACAATCCTTCTCCGAAAATCAAAACTGATGTCTTTTGTTTTATTTATGGCGTTACCAAGGTATATAAAATCTTTGACTACCTCGAAGCTGAAGTTCTCACATTAAACAGTTGGTCCGAGTCTATTGGACGTCTTACGCGTTGATACCATCAGCTTGGTCTTCTCGCCATTTACTGCCCCTGCCCACTTTTGCCGATTCCTTTTCAATTTGCTCAAAGGTGGCTGTTACCGCTCGCAATGTTCGACACATTATATCGATGTCATCGGCGTAGGCGAGTAACATGTGTTGTTTGGTGTACAGAGTGTCATTTCTGTTCACCTTTGCCTCTCGTATGACCTTTTCCAGCCGGGATGTTAAAAAGGTCACACGACAAACTATCACCTTGTCTGAATCCTCGTTCGGTATTGAAGTGCTCCGATAGGTCCATTCCTACTTTAACTGCTGACCTTGTGCCACCTAAAGTTATCCTGCATAGCCGTATTAATTTTGCAGGAATGCCGAACGCAGACATGGCTTTAAACACCTCTGAACGGATAGGGCTGTCGAATGCGGCTTTATAGTCGACAAATAGGTGGTATGTGTCGATGTGTTTTTCGTGGGTCTTTTCCAGGATTTGGCGCAGAGTGAAAATCTGGTCAATGGTGGATTTGCCAGGTCTCTAAGGCCGCATTGATATGGCCCGATGATGTCATTGACCATTGGCTTCAATCGTTCACACAGCACACTGGATAGCACTTTCTATGCGATGGGAAGGAGACTTATTTCTCTATAGTTGGCACATATGGTCTTGTCTTCTTTTTGTGCACGGAACACAGGATGCTGAGGTTCCAATCATTGGGCATGCGATTGGAAGCAGACTTATTCCTCTATAGTTGGCACATATCGTCTTGTCTCCTTTTTTGTGCACAGGACACAGGATCCTGAGGTTCCAACCATTGGGCATGCAAATTGTGCTAATCAGCTGGTGCATGCTCCTGAACCAGCATCTGGCCACCAGTCTTGAATAGTTCGGCTGGTAACCCATCGGCTCCTGCTGCTTTGTTGTTCTTGAGCCGATTAATTGCTTTTATGACCTCATCTTGGTTAGGTGGTATACACTCTATACCATCATCTCTTATTGGTTCTGGGGTATCTTCTTCATCGCCACTATTTGATACTAGAAGCTTTTCGAAATACTCCTTCCAGATCCTCAACACGCTGTCCGTATCTGTCACCAGGTTTCTTTCTTCATCTCTACAGGAGGAGGATGTGCCTGCACCAAAGCCTTCGGTTTGGTGTTTTACTCGTTAGTAACATTTCCGGACTTCATTCTGACTCCTGTACATCTCGATTTGCTCACGCTCACGTTTTTCTTGTTCTTTCTTCTTTTTTCTGAAAACATGTTTCTCCTCTCTCCTTTTCTCCCGATAATTCACCATCACGTTACGTGTTGCTACTGACTGCAGGGTTGCCCTATACGCTGCGTTTTTTCACATCAGTAGCGCATTACGACACTCCTGATCGTACCATGGGTTTCTTGGTGGTGGTTCTTGGTACCCAAGTGTTGCGTTTGCTGCAGTTTATAGGGAGTGGGCAATTCATAGCCATTGTGCTTCTATACTATTATCGGGACATGAAGTGCTTTCGTCAAGCAGGTGGGTATGTTGAGCGTAGTAGTACTTTCGGCTACCTGTTGTGTTTGCAGTTTTTCGACGTCGAGTTTCCGTGTTGTGTTACATCACACCTTTGCTGCTACATTAAGACGGGTACGTACCTTGGCTGCCACAAGGTAATGGTCCGAATCGATATTCGCTCCTCGTATCGATCGAACGTCTAAAACACTGGACGTATGCCTTCCGTCTATCACAACATGATCAATTTGATTTCTCGTTGCTTGATCAGGAGATATCCAGGTGGCCTTGTGTATATCGAGATGCTTGAATCTGGTGCTGCTAACTACCATGTTTTTTGCTGCCGCGAAGTCAATGAACCTCATGCCGTTGTCATTTCTTTCATTCATGAAGGCTGAATTTTCCGACGGTGGTGGGGCCAAAGATATTTTCCCTTCCGATTTTTGCATTCAAATCTCCGAGCAGAATTTTAATGTCATGGCCAGGGCAGCGGTCATATGCTGTTTCCAGGCGCTCGTAAAGTATGTCTTTGGTCTGTTCATCTTTGTCTTCGGTCGGAGCATGGGCGCAAATAAGACTAATGTAGAAGAACTTCGCTTTTATACGGATTATAGCAATTCTCTCTCATCTACTGGAGTGAATCTGGAGACGAGATCTTTTATTCTCCGGTTAACCATAAATCCGCAGCCAAATTCATGTCTCGTTTCATGGCAGCTATAATACAGTGCGTAATCGTCTGATTTACTTACGCCAGTCCCTTTCCATCGCATTTCCTGTAAGGCAATAATATCGTCTTTGTATTTCTTGAGTACATCCGCCAAAGCGAACACTGCGCCTGTTCTGTACAACACACATTCCAAGTGCGCACATTCCAAGTGCAGATTCGCAGATCGTGGTCCTTTATACGTTTGCGGGGGTCGTCAACATGGGTGGGGGTTTGGTTTTCTCTTTCTTTGCTTTTTCATAGTAGGTTGGGTTTTCCGAGAGTGGGCAACTCACCCGACGCCTTAATCCATTTTTTATAGTTCTCATGGGTGAACTCATAATATTAGCTCACTATTTTCATCGGGTGATGAAAATAGCTCCCCAGGTGGCACCGCGGGGAGGTCAGTGTCCACAATTGAGATGAAAGAGGAAGCAAGATAAGCCTGGGCTTCGCCATGTTAAAGCCAATCAGAGCTCCCCAGGTGGCATCGCGGGGAGGTCAGTGTCCACAATTGGGATGAAAGTGACACCAAGATAAGCCTGGGCTTCGCCATGTTAAAGCCAAAAAGAGCAGTTGCTTGGTGTCTATTATCCCCTACGCCACCCTTGAACAAATATTTTTAAAAAATCCACGCGTATGGTGGACCATGAAAAAATATTCTTTAAAAAATCTATGCACCAAAAAATTTTTTTTGATCCACAGTACCTTCGCTACGATATCTAAACATCAAAGATAAGAGTGAAATTGTTTGCTCTCTTGTTATGCTCACTTCTTTGCGAAAGAGAGAGAGAGAGAGAGTGAACATTATATGTTCCGAACATTGAAAATAAACAGTATTAACCAAACCGGCAAACACTGCAGATCACAGAGGAGGAAACGAACGTCTAAGCCAAACAAAAATAATTGACGGAATATAAACAACAGATTAACCGAAACGATTCTTATGAATAGCTGCAGCAACAACAACAACAACAGCCAGTATGATGAAATTTCACAGAAATGTATTAATTCATCGTGAGAACATTTATAAACAAACCACCCTAATTAAACAACAACAACAGGTGGGTACAAACAACAACAACAACAACACCCAGATTTCAATAACAAATATTTTCAATATTTTTTTTATTTTTTGTTTTTCAGTCTCGATTGTTATCTTCCAAGACCTCCAACGATGATAATGGTTATGATTTCCAGAAGGAATGGGCCCAAGCCAAACCCTTCGAATCGATACCTCAAGAAAGTCGACTCTCAATGCTGATGAAATTTTTACCCGGTGGTCGATATGCCAATCTGGATGCCACCAAGCTGATGTTGGCAATGAAAAAAGATTTCGGAGATATTAGCCTGCTGAAGGGAATGTTGGGCAAAAAATCGTTTGTTGTCACCCATAACCCGCAAGATTTTGAAATGGTGCTACGCAATGAAGGTATTTGGCCGGTGAGACCGGGTTTGGAGGTGTTGGCCCATTATCGTAGTGTTTTGAAGAAAGATTTTTATCAGGGCACCGAGGGACTTTTGTCAACGTAAGTGAGGGGGAGGGAGGAGGTCATTGAATAAATTTTATGGTAAAATGAAATAAAAAAAATGGATTTCAGGTCCGGCGAAAAATGGGGCAATTTCCGTTCAGTTGTAAATCCGGTTTTAATGCAACCGAAAAATGTAAGGCTATATATGCACAAGATGTCGAAGGTTAATCGGGAGCTAATGGAAAGGTGAGCACTTAAAACCATCTTATTAAAAAATTCACGTCTTGTGAGAAATATTTAAAAAAAAACTTTTATTTTTACAAAAGTTCACACCTTGTGTGCATAGTTGAAAAAATAGTTTTTTAAACATCCACACCATGTGTGCATCCTTGAAAAAATATTGAAAAAATATTTTTTTAACTCCAACCTCATCCACCTCAAAACCTTAAAAATAACCCCAAAAACAGTTTTTTTTTTAAATCAACGCCATAAAGACATAACCTCAAAAACAGTTTTTTAAAAATCCACGCCAAAAACAGTTTTTTAAAAATCCACGCCATAAAGACATAACCTCAAAAAACACCATAAAGACATAACCTCAAAAACACTTTTTTTTAAAAATCCACGCCATAAAGACATAACCTCAAAAACATTTTTTTTAAAAATCCACGCCATAAAGACATAACCTCAAAAAAGTTTTTTAAAAATCCACGCCATAAAGACATAACCTCAAAAACACTTTTTAAAAAATCCAAGACATAACCTCAAAAACACTTTTTTTTTTAAATCCACGTCATAAAGACATAACCTCAAAAAACACGTTTTTAAAAACCAAGCCATAAAGACATAACCTCAAAAAACACTTTTTTTAAAGATCAAGCCATAAAGACATAACCTCAAAAAACAGTTTTTTAAAAATCCACGCCATAAAGACATAACCTCAAAAAACACTTTTTTTAAAAATCCACACCATAAAGACACAACCTGAAAAAAAACACTTTTTTAAAAATCCACGCCATAAAGACATAACCTCAAAAAACACTTTTTTTAAAAATCCACGCCATAAAGACATAACCTCAAAAAACACTTTTTTAAAAATCCACGCCATAAAGACATAACCTCAAAAAAAAACTTTTAAAAATCCACGCCATAAAGACATAACCTCAAAAAACACTTTTTTAAAAATCCACGCCATAAAGACATAACCTCAAAAAACACTTTTTTAAAAATCCACGCCATAAAGACATAACCTCAAAAAACACTTTTTTTAAAAATCCACGCCATAAAAACATAACCTCAAAAAACACTTTTTTAAAAATCCACGCCTTGTCATAACCTCAAAAATACTTTTTTAAAAATCCACGCCTTCTCATAACCTCAAAAAATACTTTTTTAAAAATCCACGCCTTGTCATAACCTCAAAAAAATTTAAAAAAAAATAATAATTTCCTTTCTTCCAGAATCCGTGCCATTCGTGACCCTCAAACCCTGGAAGTACCCCCATCCTTTGAGGAGGAAATAAATCGCTGGACTTTGGAATCCGTTTCCATTGTGGCGTTGGACAAACAATTGGGTCTGCTCTCCACAAATCGCAATGACCCCAAGGCCAGGAAAATTTTCGATTCATTGACGGAATTCTTCACCCTCGGTTTCGAAATCGAATTCCAACCTTCCATTTGGAAATATATTGAAACCCCAACATATAAGAAACTTATCAAAGCCATGGATACAATGCAGGATACCATTGCCAGTTATATTCAGGAGGCCATAGAACGCATGGAGGCTGAGAAGAAGGCTGGGTTGCCCTCCAAGCCCGAGCATGAGCAAAGTGTGCTAGAAAAGCTACTCAAAGTGGACAAGAAAATTGCCCAAGTTATGGCCATGGATATGTTGTTGGCTGGTGTGGATACGGTAAGTCGGAATCACATTGTGTCAAACATCACAAAAATCTAATCTGCAATATGTTCCAGACATCCACCACATTTGTGGCCCTACTGTTGTGCTTGAGTAAAAATCCCGATAAACAAGCCAAGCTTCGCGACGAGATAATGCGAATTTTACCCGAAAAGGATTCCGAATTCACCGAAGAAGCCTTCCGAAATATGCCCTATTTAAGAGCCTGCATCAAGGAATCACAGCGTGTCTATCCCTTGGCTGTGGGTAATGTTCGAGTAAATCAAAAAGATGTGGTATTGAGTGGTTATCGTGTACCAGCCGGACAGCAGGTGTTTATGGTCTCAGCATCATTGAATCACGACGAGAAGTACTATCCAAGGGCCAATGAATTTTTACCCGAACGTTGGCTGAGGCAAGAAAAGAGCACTCCGTCTGTGGAGTCCCTAAAGCCTAGCAGCCCGTTTGTGTTCTTACCATTCGGCTTTGGACCACGCAGCTGTATTGGTCGCCGCATTGTTGAAATGGAAATTGAATTGGGTATTGCCCGTTTGATTCGAAATTTCCATGTGGAATTCAACTATCCCACGGAGAATGCCTTCAAATCGTTGCAAATTAATATTCCAAATATTCCGCTGAAATTTAAATTTACGGATGTTTAAAAAAAATATTCAAACTTCAAAAAAATATTGGATGGCTGTGTGGAATAAAAATTTTTTTAGGTTATAGCAAGGCGTGGATTTTAAAAAAAAATATTTTTGAGGTTGCATCAATTTCTTATGGTAGACAAAAAATTGCATCATTTTTTTAATTCATATCTAAATGTAATATCATGCAGTATCAAAATACAAAATTTGTTATTATTGATTAGAATTCAATGTGTCTGATAAGACCATAAACCATCACACACGTCTGCCGATAAGAAATGTTAACAGATGGTCTTCAAATGCCAGGTGAGGTGTGTGTTTTTTTTTTTTTAATAAATAAAATTAAAATTATTTCAATTTATTTTTTAATTATAGTCGGATTTTCAGTACATTTTCATTAACCTCGCAAAAACAAAAAAAAAACCTTCAAGTTGATTTTCATTGCTTTTAAAGTGATTTAACACTTCCATCCCTGTATGTCAAAATTCACAATATATAGAGATGGTTGTAATCATTGACAAAAACCATTGTAACTCACAATCCATTCACAACCACAATTAAAGAGGAAATTATCGATTACCTTTGCAGGCAAACACACCCAGTAGGAAATTGGAGTCATTTAGAACAAATGTACCATAACATCTCAAAATATTCTCGACCACACACAAAGTATATAAATTCTTGGTCAGAATAAAAATCTATTTCGATGTAGCCCACCTGTTTGTCCTGTTAAAATTACGATAAAGATCGAAATATTTAATTAAGTAGGCCTTTGAAATTTCGCACACACAATTGAGGGTACTAGCAGAATTTCTCTACCAAAGTGGATGTAGTTTGGTATTGAGGGATCCTGGATGAAGAAAAATTGCCTCCGCAGAACATTTTTGAATTTATGTCCACATTTTGACATTGGCCGACATAGAAAGAAGTGGCTGTAATTATACCCTACACAACTATGTTGTCAGGGTATTATAGCTTTGCTATACCCTACACAACTATGTTGTAAGGGTATTATATCTTTGTGCAGCCCCAAAAGTTTGTAACGCCGCGAAATATTGGTCCTAGACCCACCTTTAAGTATACCGATCGTCATATATCGACTAGCTGAGTCGATCTAGACATGTGTGTCCGTCCGTCCGTCTGTCCATTATAATTTGTAAACACGATACAGGCCACAGTTATGGACCGATCTTCACGAAATTTTGCATGTAGGATGGGTTCAGGCCAATGAAGACCCCTATTGTTTTTGGAAAAGATCAGTTAATATTTAGAAGATGAAATGGACCAAAAACTTTATTTTTGTCGTTTTTTCTGGTTGCTCCAGAGGCCGCAATTATGGCCCAAACACCGCGAATTTTTGCTTTGAGAAGGGGATCGGGCCAAAGAATAAGCATGCCTGTTTTGATAAAGATCGGCCAATATTTAGTAAGTCAAATGGACCCTGACTTTTGTGTGAAAAATGACAACATGTGTATTCTATAGCGTATATATTTACCCCTGAAGGACATAGACCCGAGAAGTTGACCTTATATCCAAGAGGAGTGGTAGACCTTTAAACTAATACCATTATATTGTTGTATCTGCTCGGATGTGGGAGTTACAACTAAATATTTAAAGTTATCTCCGTATTCGTATATTATTTAGTAACCCATTATCACTTTAGAGAGCGGAACTATTGCGCTGATGAGGTTCCAGTTATGGTCAAGGACAACGCCTATAATTTTCAGTGATGATCAGATAATAATTTTGGAATGAAGTGGACCGAAAACTTAATTTGTTTGTGTTATTTTCGTGTCGATCTGTAGACCACAAATGAAAGCCGAACATCACAACACAACCCACGTTGAAGGGAATCTGGACAATAGCTGTACTGAATACTCGTAATATTCGGGCAAGAGGGTGCAAATATCACGAAATATTGCCCAGACTCGGAATAAACATCCGCAGAAAATTTGAGTTCCTTGGTAGTTGTGTAGGGTGTCGTATGGTCGGCCCCGTCCGACTATACTGCTCCGCTCACTGGTTTATTTATTTATTACAAATTTTCCCCATAAATTCAATCTTTTACATTTTTTTAAACAAGCCACCTCTCAAAGAGTACATTTCCATCACAGTGTTGCCAAAAAAAATTACCTTTCACTGACTAAACAGTTACTTTCTCTCTACGACTGAGTACTCACACACCAACCAACTACTCATCATGATGTTAGCAACACAACTGAATGGTGTATGTTCAGTGACAACTGTAATCTTCTTGAGTATTGAACGCGAGAGATATTTTACTTATATTTTAACAAAAATAAAAAACAATACCAAATGAAATAACAAAAAAACATATATAAATATAAAACAATAAAATATAATAATTATACACAATCCTTCATAATTATCCGAAATAATTAAGAAAAGTGAAGAGAAAAGAAAGAAAACAAACACCGGAAAGAATACATATTGTTGTCTAGCTAGCTGGCTGGCTGCCTTGCCTGCAGTGTTCTGTCCGCTGTCGTACAAGAACAAGAAAAAAACGGAAGAGAAATTCTACGACGATCTGGAAATCATAGTTACATTGACATCTAGTGCAAGAGTTGAGATTTGGATTCGATTGAATTGAAGCAAATTGATTGGAAACTAAGGTAAATCATTTGTTTGGGCGTATCAATAGCTGTGTTGGTTGATGTTGTTGTAGGAAATCAAGATCGTCAGAATAAAAAACGAAGTATTATGACAGGTTGTCTCAGATGTAAATGCAGTCGCAGTCAGACAGTCGGTGGTTGACAAACGTAATAACAACAAAAAAAACAAATAGTCATATGCTGTTAAGATACAATACCCCCATCCACTGACTTTTCGGAAGCATGCCCTGCATTGGTGTCGTTTTGTAATATGAAGTATGAGGGTCGTGTGGAAAGGTTAGGGTGGTCCGCGCCACCTAGGCGCGGATTTTTTAAAGAATATTTTTCCAAGACCTAACTAGGCGTGGATTTTTTAAAAAATATTTTTTTCAAGACCTAACTAGATGTGGATTTTTTAAAAAATATTTTTTCAAAACCTAACTAGGCGTGGGTTTTTTAAAGAAAAATAATGTTTTTTCAAGGATTACCTAGGCGTGGTTTTTTTAAAGAATATTTTTTCAAGACCTACCTATGCGTGGATTTTTTTTTCAAAAATACCTAGGCTTGGATTTTTTAAAGAACATTTTTTTAAGACTTACCTAGGCGTGGATTTTTTAAAGAATATAATTTTAAGACCTACCTAGGCGTGGATTTTTTAAAGCTAGTCTCTATAAAGACTCCCTTTAGCTAGTTTCTATAAAGACTCCCTTCAGCTAGTCTCTATAAAGACTCCCTTCAGCTAGTCTCTATAAAGACTCCCTTCAGCTAGTCTCTATATAGACTCCTTTCAGCTAGTATCTGTAAAGACTCCCTTCAGCTAGTCTCTGTAAAGACTCCCTTCAGCTAGTCTCTGTAAAGACTCCCTCTCTATAAAGACTCCCTTCAGCTAGTCTCTATAAAGACTCCCTTCAGCTAGTCTCTATAAAGACTCCCTTCAACTTGACTCTAAATACTACGTCCGTCTCGTCTGTTGACTCCCTTCAGCTAGTCTCTAAGAATTCCCTTCAACTTGACTCTAGATACTCCAAACGTCTCGTCTGTTGAATCCCTTCAGCTAGTCTCTAAAGACTCCCTTCAACTCGTCTCTAAAGACTCTCTTCAGCTCGTCTCTAAAGACTTCCTTCAGCTTATATATAAATACTCCCTTCAGCCGTCTATAAAGATTCCCTTCAGCTCGTCTATGAAAGACTCCCGTCAGCTCGTCTATGAAAGACCCCCGTTAGCTTGTTTATACACAGATTATTCATCTCGACTGCCTCCTAATCCCGTCATGATTCATCTCGCATGATTTGATTTTTTTTCTTTTGTAAAATACAACAGACCTCCACAATGTTCTAATTGCTATTCTCACTAAATTAGTTTAGAACAAAATTTATGTCAATGCAAAATTAAAGCTGCTAATTATTTGCAGCAGCAGCATGTGAGAAGCCATGTAAACAAAGATGTTGTTGTTTATAATAATTTGTTTTTGTATATTTCTAGAAGGAACACAAAAACAAGAACAACGACAAACAAATCATAAAACACACAGAGAATTTATTTAAACGAAAGATACAATTAAAGATTAGAATAACAACAGACCGGCCAATGAAATATTATTATGATGTGAGGCTATTCTGGAGAGCTGTTTCTTATCTTGAGGGGAAACAATCTATGATGCAATATATAATACAAGAAAGAAATTAAATTAAAAAAATATATATTTTGAAATTAATTGATATGTATTTTTTACAGAGGCTCGATCTGTGATGGATGGTAAATCCATTTATTTATATATTTCATCATGCTGCCAACCCATGTAATATTAAGTGTTGTTGTTTCTTAAGTTTAGTTATTAAAATTATAATTATTATAATAACGTTGATTGTTGATTGTTGAATGTTGTTGTTATTGTTGTTGTTGCTGCTCAAGTTCCTTCACTTGTTGGTGCTGCTTGTTTTAAGTTTGAGTTTCGATGGAAGACTGCCGAGTCTTAGTTTTGTCTTTCATTTCATGGTGGTGCTTTTTCAAAATGTGTCGACGATGCACTTACAGTCATTTATTGTGAGAAAATGCTAACCAAGCATTTCTCAGCGACGAATGTTTATTTCGGTAACTCTTCCCCTCCTTAGTTGGAGCCGTCCCCGGATACAGTGGCTGTTTGAGATACTACTGCTTGCAGAGATTTATTGAAGGCAGCTAATTTGCGTTTTTTTAGAATTCGTTTAACCACAAAAAATGTAGAAAAGACTCCACAAAGAGAGATGACCAAGGTTAAACTTATGTAGTGGTTTTCAGAAACTTTGCGCTGAAGATTTTGAATATGCTGCAAATTTTTTAAGTTCGAATGGTGCAGATAAGGGATATTTAGCACCTCTATATCCTCCGTCAGGTTGACGACAGCCGACCGAGGTATTCCTGGTG